TCGGAAGCAAACAAACAACAACAAAAAATATATAACCTTTTATGCTTATTGATCAATTGATAATTGGTATGTATAAGCGCGCTTAAAAATCAATAGTTTCAATATAGTAAAACAGATTGAACATTTATCGCCAACTTCGTCAGCCTCCCCCCCTTCCTCTTTCTCCCCACCCACTTCAGAAAATTATTAATTTTCTTTTTGTAATTTATTATTATTTTCTAGAGAAAAAAGGCATAATCGAATTTTGTTTTGTTTTATTTAGTAGAGAATTTAATCGTTTATTCACTAGGTTGTTTGTTTGTTTGTTTCTAAGATCAAGTGTAAACTACACTTATGCATATTTGCAGATTTGTGTAAGACAGATAGAGTGGGAGAAAGAGAGAGAGAGAGCGCGCACGCGAAAGAGGGGGAGGGATGGTATAATTATAGATTACGTGCATTGTGTTAACGAAAGTTTTTTTTCTAAATTTTACTGATGACAGCTTCAATAAACTATTAGTCATAGGCTCATTCTTATTGACATGCATTTATCCAATGTGTAAAACAATAAGCATATCTCTGTGTGTGTGTGTGTATGCATGTCTAAACTAAATTGGGTTGGCGGAGAAAAACGAAGTAGATAAGGTTTAGGAGTTGGCAACAAAGAGAACAACACGAAAAGAAAACCAAATGAATTTGACAAATGTGTCTAGAATATACAAAAAGCTCGATTTCACTACTGACCAGGAAAATTTTTGTAGTGATCAGATTGATTTATATGTATATATACACTGAGGGAAGTGTAACTTATTCGTCATAATCCTATTAATACAAGTTTACTTTCGAAAGTTTTGACTACAAAAATTTGGATGAATTATAATGAGACTAGTGAAATAACATAAACCATGTAACATGTTAGTCTATTTAAAGAAGGAAGAATTTCTCTCTACTCATTTCGCTTCAATTATAACAAATGAAAGCACTCGATTGACTTCGAATCTCTTTCTTCTTTGTAAGTAAATGAAGAATAATGATGATGCCATTGACTCTATTGGACAAACCGTTGTTCATGAATTATGTAAAAATAAGCATTTAGGCCAATAAACTAATTCAATTCATGATTAGTAGGAGTATGCATTTTCTCGTGATTGGTATTCAAGGTTAAGTTTTGATTAGTCTTTATTGACATTTGCATGGGTCCTATACAAATTGTCTAAATATGGTCATTGGTTACAAAATTTTTTTAAGGATACATATAGCATAACTAGCTGTGGAGTCCAGTAAGAGTATTGTGTCTCAATTGGTACTAGTCAAGGCAACGTGGATCTGTATCTCTCTATTAATTTTCACTCAGATAAGTTGCTAGAATGGTGAAACTGCCGTACTAGATTCATCTACTGTGTAAAAACGATGATTACTATTACGACTATATTTTTTAAATCGCTTGGATAAGAACTGAAGCAGAAGTAGTCCATCTTTATTTTAGTACTAATGAATAAAGATAATAATAATAATAGTAATGATTATTATTACCATTATAACAGATAAAATTAATTTCGTTCCATGAATATAAATCATACGACTTGGTAACTTGAAGAGAAACCTTATCTATCAGTTGATAATCGTCAGCAATGTATATCTCTAATTTTGATAGAACTATTGTTCCATATGGGATTCGAAATCCTTGTCACTCAGTGTATGTTTACCCTGTTCAATCAGAGCTATTAATACTGAACTATTAAAAACACGAGTGATTTCTGTATGAGTGAAATGTTGATATTGTCTAGTAAAATTCTGCCTATCAAGTTGCAATGTGGTTTGTATCTGTGTGAATGGTTGGGCATGTAAGGACATGTCATATGTTTGTGCTCACATTAACTTCCAAGGTCAGTCGGTAAGTGAGAAATTAGAGTCAATTAGTTATGTACCTACTCAAGTTTTTAGTTTACATATCCTTGTTTGAGCCCGAAGGATAAATAGATATATATTAATGATTTGTGAGGATCATAGTTCGATCTGGCAATTAAACAACCCAACTCATTTCAATCTCCTTATTTGCATAGTGAGTTTGGTATACCTTAAAAACTGTATAATGTTATTGAATAGGTTCGTAGAGTATAATAATATCTCATGTTATGGGTGATCTAATTATAAGTTTTGTATTCTACCTAAGAAATCTACTTATGTTTTCCCTTGGTAGAGTGACAAACTAAATCAAATCAAACTTCTATGGTGAGTACAAGTGAGGTTAAAGTTAGATCAATGGTTCAAACTTAATTGTTACCATTTGAAACTATTCAACATACATAGAAGAAGACAAAAATTATCAGGAGAGGTTTTGTGGATATTATAGTAATTTTAATAGTTGAAATCATGAGTCATTTAAAACTAGACCACCATGGAAAACATGGGAGCACTAGACGGCCGTTTAGTCCTACTATGGGACTCCTCAGCAGTGCGCATCAGTGATCCCGCCTCGCGAGATCCGAACCCAGGACTGTTAGGTCCTAGCGACGGTCTCCAAGAGGTATTTCTTGGAGTTCTAGTGAGAAGCAGTGACCAGTGGAGTTCAACCTGGTCTGTTGTGAGATAGTAAATCACTGGAGACAATGGTAGATGTGTCGTTCAATTCGTGGATCAGTTGAAGTTATACAATAACACCGAAGGATGCCGGTCGGCTTAGTGATCTAGTGGTTGAGTGCTCGTGCGCGAGACTGATAGGGCTGGGTTCGAGTCCCGCGGGGTGGCGGGATCGTGGATGCGCAATGCTGAGGAGTACCCTAATGGGACGAAACGACCGTTCAGTGCTTCCAGGTTTTTCATAGTGGTCTTGCTTCGGTTGACTCATTACGTCAACTATTAAAATTCCAAAAATTATCCTCAATATTATATACTACACTTTATAAACAAAGCCGTTTAAAACTGAATGTAATTACTGATAAGTACTTTATCTATTCCGTATCTTATTGAATACGTTTGATCATGTGTATATCGACTCTTCTAACTATCGATAAATTTAATATTAACTTGTAAGCAAGGAGTTCAATTATTTTCAAATGTTTATACTGTGTTTAACTGAAATAACCATAATAGACTAAGTATACAAACAATTAGACTATTCGAATATTAACTGATCAGTCGGCTTCTAGACTAGAACCCCTCAATAAGCAGTTTAGAAGGTGAATTTAATTCAAGATTTGGCAATTAAGGAGTAATTGTTTGTATGATAATAAGCGATCTTACAATACTGGAAACATTTAATAAAGATATCTAAATGAATACTGATTATGTAGTCTATCAAACGTTAACTGAAAACGGATGATTTAAATGAGTTTTTTGAGATTGGTTTGATTTATAGGTTGTACTAGTCACAAGCCGATTTTTGTAAGAGTACCACTGAAGAAGAGAAAGTACTGGATAACTGTTTCGCCCTAGCAAGAGACCTCTTACTAGTGCGCATCCATGACCTTTTCAGGAATCAAAACAAGGACTTTCTGGTGACGCTGAGGAGGCATGACTTTAGAATCAGCTAATTTCAACTCAATCAAGTTGCGATATAACTTGATGATTATCTAATGCAACTATTGAGAACTATAGCACACTCGACGTATTTCAACTCCGTCCATCACCACTCTGGTAACGCAAAAAGCATTACTAAAAAATCTAACCGATATCCACAAAATCCCTACAACTAAACTATGTTGGTCAGTTAACTAGTGGATTACTTCATGATATTTCCAACGTTCTAGTGAGAAACCGTTACGATTGAGGTAATAACATGTCGAGAATGAGATAGGTTACTAAATGGCATTAGATAATTATCGAGCTCAAAAGCAAATCGATTGAGTTGAAAGTGTACCAATGAAAACTGCATCAATGTGTTTAATACTAATGACTTATATTCAGGCTTTGAAGATCCTGGGTTCAATCACTGACAGTTCTTCTAAGGGATATGAATGAAATAACATAAATATGATGATGATAGTGGGATACCGAAATGAAATTTCTAATGGAACCACTCTCACATACATCCACTCATCCACTCAATGAATAAATGAGCCGTTGAAAAGTGAACACGTTGTAGATGGTTCTATTAACTAACTACCGATCACCATATTGCGAAACTGACAATGTGATCGCAACGAAATGGACGATCATTGAATGGGAGTCATGTGAATTACTGAAAAAGTGAGTGACTGTTACCACTGTTATTTATACACTGCTATTTATATAATCGATGAAATAAATAAGAATGGAGATAATTATGATTGATGAAATATATTTGTGTTGTAGTGTTGCAATGAAAATGATAGTTTATTGGAAGAATACGTGAGATCGTGGGTTGATTTAAGGTATTTTGTAGTTGACGTCCATGTAGTGAATAAAGACTGATGGTGTTCTGTTATGTCATGAGTAGGAAAGTTTTACGAGAAATTTTACTCAATGATTTTAACAATTTAATGTTTAAATGGTTGAGATGGAATGACTGAACTCTATTATTGAATGTCTTCTATTGTATTTTTGACTAGATAATTGTGAGGACGACCCTCAATTGAACTCAAGGCAGTTCTAAGAAACTTAGAAAGAGCTGAAGATATTCCATTCAATCACTCTTTTTCGGAAAAATATTCCAAAATTTCAACTTGTAGCTTTCCGATTAAACAAATGTTAAAAGCCACTTCACATGAATAAGATGACTTTAATGATGATTTCGTTTCTACTAAGAACTATAAATAACTGAATGTTTTGTATCTTATTCGACACTGTTTGAAATAATATTTCTTTTCATTCATCTTCTATCATTTTTTTTTGTGACATGGTAGGTTCTAGTATTTAAGTGCTGAAGTAGTAAGCGGTAGAGAAAGAATCTAATCTCTATGTATAACAGTAATCTAGTCACTAAGGCTATTCATCATGTCTAATTAGTAATATAGTAGACTAGATAAACATTAAATCAGTTACTAACCAGTAATGAATTAGTATAATTTCAAAAAATAAAATAACTCCAATCTATCACTTACACTTAATAAATCTTTTTCTGAAAGAACCTGATTATTACTATCTGAGTTATCTTTGTTATTTTGTTCTATTGTTGCTATGACTAATCCAACATTATGATCATTGGAATTGATTACATTTTTCAATCGATTTTTTAGTCTTTTATTTACACTATTCTGTTTTGTCATTTTCATTTCTTCTTCTTCTTCTTCATCATCATCATCATCGTCATTGTAATCATCTTCTTCATCGTTTTCATCATCACCATTTTCATAATGATGTGAAATGGACTCTTGCGATTCATTTGTAATAGAATAAATTGTCGAAATTTCAATAATATCTTGAAATGTTACTTGTTTCTCTGGTTTTTTCATTGAGTTAAGTGAATTGATTGGAAATGACTTATGCATTAATTCATTATGTAATTCATAATGATTATTATTATATTCTATATCAATTGAAGCTTCATAACTAGTCATTAAATCTTCATCAATAGTTGTATGTGAATTAGTATCATTATTATGATTGACATTTCGTTCACTATGATCATCATCATCATCATCATCATCATCATCATCATCAGTATTACTTTTTGATGTCAGCGGTGGTGTTGTTGTTGGTGTTATTGCTGTTGATGATGATGGTGGTGGTGTTATCCTAATTGTATTTGCAATTGTATCTATACTATCATTCATTGGTGAACTTCTTGCATGATTAATCATACTCTCTGTTTCATCTGAATAAATCCCATCATTGTCTTCATTACTAACAATTGTACATGAAGATCTCAATACATTGTACTCATTATTATTATTATTATTATTATCAAAATTCATTTCTTTTTTCCTTTAAATTCCATGCATTAAACACCTCCCTTAATTGTGTTAAATCTGTTACTATGCATAGATTATTGTTTAAATATTACATTGTTTATTAGAAATGTATAAATTTCCTTAAATTTCCTTTCCTATTTTTTTGTTTTTTTTTTCTTCTTGAAAATCATTACCGTTTTACATACATCAATGAAAATTATAATTTTTGTTCCAAAGTTACAATCACTAATTTGTCTTATACCATCAACTAATCAAAATGTAGTTAGATAAATTGGTGAGACTATAATTTATGAATGAACCAATCAGATTTAAGTTAGAAGGTCATGAATTTTGCCGCGCGAAATTCAGTCATTCATTTTGGTTACATTGAGTTTTGACATTTTAGTTGATTTTCATTCATGATGAAAACCTTAAATCCATATTTTAATTATAATTTTAATTCCTCATAATAGTTTATAACTCTCATGGGTTCCAGTATCCTGAGGGAAAAATAGCGTATGAACCAATCGTTGGTCACCGGCTACCGTGAGATTGAATCTCCTTACGATGCTCTACTGCCTTGTGGATTAGACTTTTAGGTCGAACGCTCCAGGTGTGGCCCCCAAAGTAAACCGTCTGGTCAGTATCACAGCCCTCATACAAATCAGATGAGATTTGTGTGGAGCATATGTATCTGGTGCCTCCTTGTACCAATACCTATATGTTCAAATAAATAAATAAATAAAATTATAACTCTCATTTAATCCTAATTAGTAGGTAGATATTCTCAAGGTCAGTATGGTGTCGTTCAAAGGTCGTCCGAAATATGAATAATTAGTATAATGAAACATTGAATGGCACGGTTTGTTTAACTGTAATTTGGAAAGTTAATTAAAATAATTCAAATGAAATCATTTATTTATAAGGATTTTATATTGTCTTATAGTTGATATTATGAAGCAAAATTGATTAGTCTCTGTTGGGATTTATGTACATTGTGAATGGATTATTTCAATATTTTCATTAAGTCCAAAGTTTTTAGTAGAATTTTTGGGTACCATTGGTAAGACTTCGTGTAAATTGTTGAATTTCATCGAGATCATAACTAGTATCGTGTGCTCGCTGATGAATAGCTTCGAGAAAACGTGCGAAGCTGTGAAGGGTAGAGCTAAACCGTGTAACGTGTGAAGTCACCCAACGAAGACAATGTAAGACGGTCGCCCAATATCGTGGATTCATTGAAATTAGATATTAACACCGTTGATTGACAGATCACTGGTCCGCAGACTAAGCGTTCTCGCGTGAAACCGACAGTCCGAAGATTGAAGGGTCACGGACGCTCAATTATAAATAGTCTCATACTAGGAGGAAACGGCTATCCAGTGCTTACAGGTTCTCAATGTTGGTACAGCATCGATCGATTCACGAACTTAGTGGGAAATATTAATTTACTAATTCTTTTCCTACAGTAATCAAGGTTATAACAGTCGATCTAATTAAAATGTATGAAAGTAGAAGTTGTATAATAACGATTGAAATGTTAACTAGAAAAATGAACATACACGCTTATACCCAACAACAAATCAGCTTGAAGTGATTTACTTATCAACAGCGTAAAACATCCAGTATTCAAAGACCTTAGTAAACATTATTACTTCAATAAACTAGAGCTTCCTTGAGTTCAATTAAGGGTCGTCCTCACAAATGTCTAGTCAAAACTAAAATAAAAGACATTCAACAATAGAGTACAGTCATTCCATTTCAATCATTTAAACATTAAATTGTTAAAATCATTGAGTAAAATTTCTCGTAAAACTTTCCTAATCATGACATAACAGAACACCATCAGTCTTTATTCACTATATGGACGTCAACTACAAAATACCTCAAATCCACTCACAACCTCACGTATTCTTCCAATAAACTATCATTTTCATTACAACACTACAACACAAATATATTTCATCAATCATAATCATCCCCATTCTTATGTATTTCATCGATTATATCACTATAATAAATAACAGTGGTAACAGTCACTCACTTTTTCAGTAATTCACATGACTCCCATTCAATGATCGTCCATTTCGTTGCGATCACATTGTCAGTTTCGCAATATGGTGATCGATAGTTAGTTAATAGAACCATTCCCAACGTGTTCACTTTTCAACGGCTCATTTATTCATTGAGTGGATGAGTGGATGTATGTGGGAGTGGTTCCATTAGAAATTTCATTTCAATATCCCACTATCATCATCATCATCATCATCATCATCATCATCATCATCATCATCATCATCATCATCATATTTGTGTTATTTCATTCAGTATGTTGTATTACTGTCATCTGAAATATCCACTGCGAACACTCAACCACAACTCTACATACGTAAAATGTAGTGGTTGATGGAGATCACACTGCAACATGTATCAGTGATCTAGTGAATGAACAGTGAGGTATTTGACAATAGTGAGTGTGATGCAATAACGAACGGACAAGTGAGAATGTTTAGAGTAACACCAACTGAATTCATTTCTGTGAGAATGTGAATGATTGGATTGATGGAGATTGGAATGTGGCAGTGATACTTTGTGGAGATGACTGTGCAATCATTCTGATTGAAGTTTGATGTGTTTCCGATGATGAATGATGTGATGTTGATGAGTTTGTGGTAGATTGACAAGTGAATGTATGAATTGAATGATCATTTTGTCTTTATTGCTAGTGACTATGAGAAATGTTGATAATGATTTTGAATTTGTAGTGAGTTGTTCAGTAGAATGTATCGTGTCACTCGTAATGCATATTCGAATGAGTTATCTGTGTGTCTGTGTGTGTTTATGCGATGTTGGGATGTGTGAATAAGTGTTGTTGTTGTTGTTGTTGTTGTTGATTGAATATTGATTCAGACTGAGAGCATAATCACTGACATTGTGGATGTTGATGAACGATGTTTGCTTGTGTTTGAATTATCATTGTTTTTTTTCAAAGAATTTATATTGTGCATCTACATAATAATTACTTCGATTTAAAATAACCTTTCTAATTTGACGAGTGTCAGCTTCGCAGTAGTAAAATAATGTGAATATAGTAGTAATATGAGTAATAATAATTGTGGAATTCCTTAATTTCTCTTCATAATCTTCATATGTATATAGTTATATAAATATTTCCATTGATGTCTAGAACTGTAGTTGATCAGTCTTTTCAGCATGTGTACATTATTGGCAGAATCCCTCAATATTTGCCATTAGATTACAAGCAATATGCTTTTTAATTAAGAGATGGATGATGGCTTGCACTGGTATCCAGTACGCGTGTTTCATCTGATTTGGGACTAATCAGCTGGATTTACCTGAGTCTCAAAATCAATATTTATTCTGGCACAAATACAAATGAACTACACTTCACCCCATTGCACAAGCCAGTAGTTATCTGAACTTAGTAGCTAAGTTGATAGACGCAATGATGTTTCGGGCGAACAGTATTGAATTCGAGTCTGTGAGTGTATGTTGGCTGTATATCGAGTTGACAAGTTCAAAATGGGACGAAAACATGTATGCTGGTTTCCATTGTCAGCCATCATTCATCAAATATATTCTGTTTATGTTCATCTTTTTAGCCAGAAATATTTGAATATATTTCTGTGTATGCAGGTATTCATTTAATAAATCGAAATTACTCTTTAAAGATCATTCTCATTCTTCTTATTATTATGAATGCTGTACTCAACATATCCCTATCTTAACACATGGATCCATAATTACAAGCAAACATATATACACATACAAAGGTATGGACAAACGACTAAGATAAGTAAACGATACGAATTTCAAATGTTTTTCTTTTTCGTTTTACGAACTTTTATTTTCACTTCTGTTCTGTTTTTGTAACCTTAGTAACGTTATTGTTATTACTTAGATTCCTCACCTCCTCCATAGTAATTCACAGAGAAAACGTAAAGCTAACAAACAAACAATAATAATAATAAATCCCCGTTTCTTTAAAGGAAATTATATTGATACATGAGTATTGTTTAAAGTAACTAACATGTTTTCGAAATTAGTTGGCGGACAAGTGAACAATAGTGTATGCACGTACGAAATTCGATGAACTTATTTGGGGAGGGGGGAAAGTTATTTTGTTTTAATAATAACATACATATATATGTGTACATTGTAGTTACATTGAGATAAACAGATAAAGAGAAAGTCAACTCTCAAAGGCATAATAATTAATAAATCATTAAACTTAATAACGATTGAATAAATAAAATAGTTCCGTTCTTTATAAGCAAAAAGATGAATAGTGGCTAACAGTGGAATCCACAATGAGAGTTTCGTCCTATTTGGAACTTGTTAGCTGGATGTATCTGCATTTCAGAGTTGATGTTCACTCAATTACAGTCCTAAATGACAATGGGAAGATAGAAACTAACGCGCTTTTTGTTCTATTCAGGTCTCGTAATGTGAATGTACGTACCAAAAGCGACTAGTCATTTTCGGTTTATAACTTCAATGAGAAGATTCAAATAAACAATAAAAATGAATTATAATGCATAACGTTCCAAAAGTTAGTGGGTATTTGGACTTAGCAGCTAAGTGGTTAATGCATTAGGTGTTTGAAGTAAGAATTACTGTTTCGACTCTGTTTGACTAACAACACTTGGGTACAGGTACATATAACTTGTCGCGAATTCCACTGCTAGCCACTACTCAGCTCTGCTTATAAAATGTTATTTTAATCAGATTAATCTTGATTAGTAGTAGAGGAAAGATTAGATTTAAATCGGTGTTGATTACATAAATAACATCAACTTACTAACTAATGAAAGTATAGTGAACTTCTAATGATGAGTCAATAAGCCAATTCTGTTTAACTACATAGTCTGACTACTTCAGGTATATAGAAGTAGTATAAATATACAAATAAAACTCGGTTTTTGCAAAAGTCGCTAGTTCATCAAAATTAATGGAAACTTTATCCACATTTAGCTAAACAAACAGTCAAT